CCACCCCCACCCTCAGCCTGGTGGCCCCAACAGAAGACAGCAATTCCCACTCACTTGCTGGGAGACAGCAAGGGTGTCACTTAATACCTGCCACCTCTACTCACAGGTAGACGTCCCGATGGCCATGGAGAAACGTCTCTGTGAGGGCTTACGTCCCATGAAGTTCTAGAGAATGTTGGCTATTATCATAATTACTAACATAAGCTACTAATTTATTACTAACATGGAAAGTGTAATCCTGCCTATATGTGTATCACGACGTGGAATCCAAAATGCTGGTGTTTAGTTCTTAGAGAACTCAAAGTGCACAGATTGTTGAGAAGGACACAAGGGCCCCAGGAAGCCCTGGTCACCTCCCTGAGTGTCCATCCCCTGCTCGGGAAGCCAGGGTGGCCAGTGAAGGCACAAGGACCTGCCATCCCTGCCTGACCACCCACCTCCTCCCCAAGCTCCTCATCCCTCAGGAGAATCGTAGTCACAGCTCAGCACTGTGAGCCCCACAGACTCCAGCCCAGCCCTGTCGCCACTCCCCGCCCCCCCAACCTGGCTGCTGTTGGCTCCTGAAACAAGGTTGCTTCGGGCCTCTAGACCCTTCCTTATGCTGTTCCCCATCCTGGTTGCCCTCCCCACCCAGCTGCACCTCATCCTTTAGATCTCCCTCCGGGGCGACTCTAGGCCAGGGAATGGTATGTGGTTGACCATTGATCATTCTGGTAACTTTCTGGAGGCCCTGTTTTCTAAGAGGCCCTTTGTAAATCCCTCCCCTCCACTTCCAGTTGGAGTCAGTGCCCTGCCACCCTAAGACGTGAGCCCTCCAGTCCCCGCCCCAACCCACTCCCAGGTTCCTGAGAGCAGAAGCCCTGCCCAGGGCAGGCAGGCAGCAGACGCTCAGCAAACATGCACGCACTGGGACCAAACCAGTGAGTTTTGGCTGAAAGCAAGCACCAGGCTGCTCCCAGAAGGCACGTGCCCCGGCAGGGCTCTGACCTTGCCCGAAGGTCTCAGCTTCTCTCACCCCCATGTCTCCTGAATCCACACAAAGGAGCCTGGCTCAGAGGGACCACGGGTTTGACTTGGGCCTCATGACCTGCCTCTCACTGCACAACAGTGGCCTGGGGTCTCCCTCCTCCCTGGTCTCCTCCACCCTCCTGTCCCCTCTCTAGGAGGAGGTGGTGGCCCCAGAAGGCCTTCAAGGGCATCTTTGCATGGCCCTCAGTCCATGAGAAGTAGACCGAGGCACAGAGAAAAGGCACGTGTACAGGCATTAGTGCTGGCTGGGGCAGCCCCTCCTCAGATCCAGCTGCAGAATTCAGCAACAGTAGGGCCAGATAACAGGGCTGAGGTCTGAAACACCTGCATAAATGTGTCTGTTCAGGGGCACCAGAGGGGGACAGTGGGTTGGAAGTAAGGACCTGGAGGGCTCAGGAGTCACCTCTGCCATCTCCCTGCAGGTTGGCTGTGGCCTTTGGAAGTCCCCGTCCCTGTCACTGGTGCTGGGACAGAGCACTCAGTTTAGTTAATAGTTTCATAGTTCCTGCCCTTTTAAATATGCCCCCAAAATGCAGATTTTCCTGTAGTTCATAATAAGCAGATATTTCCAGATTTTCTATTCTCAATTGAGCCTAGTCCTAAGCATAGAGATCCAGTTCTATGCTAATTCTTTCTATATACTGCATCTGTTACTTCTAAGATGCACATTTTTTCATATTTTAACATCCATGATATTGAGTATTTCTTATAGTCAATCAGTTATAAACCATGGCAAAGTATAATCAGCAACTTTTTTTTCTTTTCTTGCGGTACATTCATTAAGTAGGATATGTTGAGTTGTACAGTTTCAGGTCCCTTTAAAAGTTACCTCAGTGGAACCTTCTAACAACCCTGTGAAAGAGGAGGAGAAAGTCTTGTTTCCATTTTGCTCCTGAGGAAACAGTCCCGAGAGAGGTTCCTTTGGAGAAAGTTTGCGTTTATGCTCGTGGGCTTGGAGGATGATGTACGATTCAGCACGTGTGCGTTGTGTGTAAGGAGGTCACCCCAGTTGCCTACTCCAGAATGTTATTAGGGTGTAATATTTATGAAACACCTTGTCTTTTAGGTCAGAAATGTTTTCAATATGACAGCAAAAGAGGGAAGGAAGAAATCAGTCCGCGTCCTGGTGGCTGTGGGGAACGGCCGAGGAGCCGCAGGTGAACGGGGTGTGATGGTCACGCGGTGCTGGTGGTGGTGGCAGAGGACAGGCGTGGCCGGGCTCGGCTGTGGGGTCTGCGGGTTCATGCTGCAGCCAGACTTTTCCTCCTGATTAAATCTGTTAGTGGTTTGGGCTCACAAGCCTTGTGGTAAACCCGGGAAATCCCTTAGAGGGAAAAGATCTTCCTACATCTGCCCTTTCCTATGAGGACAATAGATATTTAAAAAGGCTTAAGACACCATTGTATTATGTTTAATAGTGAAAACTTAGGGAGAAAAAACATTAAATATTCAACAATAGGGACATAGTTACAGAGAGAGTATAGCCACACGTACTGTGGCCGTTAAAGAATTATGGAAAATCACTTACAAAACAATGCTATTAAAAACAAAAAAACAATCTCATGTAAGACTGTATAATATAATCCCAATTCTTGCTGTTTAATAAAGTATGTTTAGGGGCCGGCCCAGTGGCATAGCGGTTAAGTTAATGCACACTGCTTTGGCAGCCTCGGGTTCACAGGTTTGGATCCCAGAAGCGCACCAATGCACTGCTTATCAAGCCATGCTGTGGCAGGTGTCCCACATATAAACTAGAGGAAGATAGGCACGGATGTTAGCCCAGGGCCAATCTTCCTCAGCAAAAAGAGGAGGATTGGCAACAGACGTTAGCTCAAGGCTAATCATCCTCACCAAAAAGAAAAACAAGTATGTTTATATGCAAGAAAAAACTGGAAAGATATGTAATGAAAAGGTTAATAACGTTTACTCTAATTTGCCAATCATTTACATTTTCTTCTTTATACTTTTCTATAAAGTTTTCATAGTGAACATCTGTTTCTGAGAGGTATACATGAATGTATAAGGGAAAGAAAACTGGAAAACTGTCTATTTAATCCATTTACTGACACTTTCAAAACAAGTAATGTGTATAGATAATATTTGCCAAAGGAAAGCACTCTTAACAGTTACTTCTGTATCTTTCTTGAAATTCGGTATTCATATATCACCATATATCTTTTAAAAAATTGACACAAAGGGATATCATATCCATAATTTAGCACCTTGCTTTTCTTGCTTAGTATTATACCCAGAGATCTTTCTGTATCAGCGTAAACAGATTCCCCCACATTCTTTGTACTGATTGAATAATGTTCCATTGTGTGGATAAACATAAATTTTGTAACATTTTCCCTATTGCTGAATATTTACGTTGTTTCCAATTTTTTACTGTTTATAAAAAATAATGAACTTCTTGTACACATAATTTGTTGTACTTTTGCAAGTATGTTAATGGGGGAAATTTCTTGCTGAAATTACTACTTCCAAGTTCTATGCATTTTATTTATTTTTTTTGGTGAGGAAGATTGGCCCTGAGCTAACATCTGTTCCCAATCTTCCTCTTTTTTTGCCTGAGGAAGATTAGCCCTGAGCTAACAAACCTGTGCCAGTCTTCCTCTATTTTGTATGTGGGTCGTCACCTCAGCATGGCTGACAAGGGGTGTAGGTCCACACCCGGGATCCAAACCCATGAACCTGTGCTGCTGAAGCGGAGCGTGCTGAACTTAACCACTATGCCATGGGGCCGGCCTCTGTGTATTTTAAACGATGATGAGTTCTGCAAGATTGCCCTCCTAAATGTTGTATCAGTTTTTTTTCATCTGGACCATCATCTCCTTGGGGCCTGGGATATGATCAATCTTTACTGATTGTCAATATGATATGGGAAATATATCTCTTAGCTCTGATTTGCATTTCTTTAATTATATGAGTTTGGACACCATTTTACATGTTTATTGGCTGTTATAATATCGTTTTTGAAGTCTCTTCATTCACGTGTTTTACCCATTTTTCTATTGGGTGATTGTTCTTCCTTATTGATTGGTATAAGCTCTTTGTAAGTTAAGGACATTAGCTCTTTGTCTATTATATACTTGATTTAGTTTTTAATTTTTTTCTGCAGAAAGTTTTAAATTCACAGAAGTTTTAAACCTTCATATAGTAAGTTTATCAGTGTTTTACCACTTCTGGTTTAGTGTCTTGCATAGAAAGCCTTCATCTGTAGATTATAAATAAGTTCACCCATATTTTCCTCTTGGACCTTTATGGTTTAATTTGTTTTGTTTAAACTAGGAGTTGGAATCCTCAGCCCCTTTTGTCCCATGTTCTCAGATGTCTTGCATATCTCATGGAGCAGTATTGTCTTATGTTACTTTCCTTTGTATAATTTAAACATAAAACAACATTCTTCAAAATAAATAATGGTGACAGCAAATAATGGAAGCATTTCCATTAACTTGTGATAAACCTCATTTCACAGGGTTAAGCATTTGCAGACTCAAGAACCATTGATTTTACTTCCTGGTTAATTGAAATCTGAACTGCATTTGAAAGTTCCAGGGAAATTGTGGTTTTACTCTATAGCAGTGTATGTTTTTTCCCAACCTTTCTGTTTATTTTAATCTATTTTCAAAAATGCTCAAAACCACTTACCTTATCAATTTAGAGGATGGTTAGTTGTTTTTTATTGAGTACATTTAGTTTTATCTAGGGATGCACAAAAGGTAGTGTTATGCATCTAACCTTGGATTTCGTAGATACTTTCAGCTGTCATATTTCCCAGCTGCCCCAATACAGAGAAGCAAATCTCTGTAGCCTCACGCTTTGTCATTTGTTTTGCACCGCAGGTTTTCTGTGAGCAGAAGAAAAACGAAGTGCAATGAAATATTGTAGGAGCCGAAACTTAAAATGTGGCGAAAGACTTTATGTGCAAAATTTATGTCCCTTTTCATATTTTTGCTTTTCCCTTACAGGTTTTGCCATTGGGAAAGCCACTCAACGGGTGGATGCTTTCAGAAAAGTATGTACATTTTTCCTTTGCTGACAGTAAAAAGATCAATAAGCTATGTGCTAGACACCTCAGAACCACAAAAAAAATAATAAAAATAGGAAGCCCCTGAGGCTTACTGTCGAAAGGCTACTTATCTCATGAAAAGTAATTCTAGAAGTACTCATATTCTTTTGCACCATTTTTATCAGACTTGTGATTGTGACAAGATTATGAGACAGCCGGGAAAGCTTGAACACTGACAGAATGTTGAAAGATACTAAGGCATTATTGTTAATTTTTTTAGGCTTGATAGTGATATTGTGCTTATGATTTTTTTAGTAAATCCTTAGCTTTTGGAAGTATATACTGAAATTTTTGTGTAAGTTTGAAATTTTCCATAATTACATATTTTATGAAAGATATTTTTTGAAATCTCTGAGAAAATGTAAATTCCAGCAGATTCAAAAAAAATATTTTCCTTCCTTCAGGCAGAGAACAAAGCAGTTCACTATCATCATACAGAACGATATGAAGACCATACGAGTGAGTGTTAGTCTTTTCTTTTAAAATTCGCAGGATTACACTTGTTTCATTATGTGAGGCAATATATGTCTATACGTATGTTTGTGTTTCTCTGCTTGTTGCTGCGTTCTTACAAATAAACATATGAAGTGTAGAGACAAACTCTCTCTCCTGAGAAGGTTAGTGATGAGGGAAATCAGAGTCTGTCCCTCGTCGTGGCCCAGTCTGTGCTGGCTGCCTCGGGTGGTATTAGCTGCTTTGTGATATTTGCAAGGGCATCAAAACTACACCCCTAATCCTTCTTGTGTTTATGTGTTTTCCCTCCAGTATTCCACGATATTTCTTTAACATTTAAAAGGACGCATATCAAGATGAAGAAACAACCCAGAAGTAACTAGAAAACTCATATTTGTTGAAGACACAGCAGAGAAATCTCACAGTTCCATCGTGTCCTCTATTTTTGCTCACCTTTACTAGAACTCATTTTGAAAATACCAGAATCGAAAGGCCTAAATTAGATTGAAGAAGGCTGAGGCTCTCAGGGAAATAAAAAGTAGTCAACCTACCCAGACTCCCGTGAGCCCCAGCATGTTCCAGGGTAATTCCAGGTGGGAAGAGCACATTATGAAGAGGAAATAGCCACTGAGTGAGGAGGTGGGCGTGGGTGAGTGGGAGCCTCAGTTCCTCCAGGAGACGTCATTGACGCTCTTAGATGGTTCTGTTCTTAGAGCTCATTCGGTTCCAGTCATTTCCTCTCATCACCGGGTATTGATTGACTGTCTTCTGTGATCCAGGTGCTACACTTAGCTGTGCGGATGCAGAGATGGACCTTCCTCCTGTCCTGTGGGAGAGCAGGCAGGCAGGCAGGCAGGGTTCAGGGTCCCGGGGCTGTGGCAGTCATGCCCAGTGGACTCCAGGTGTAGAATCCTTGAACGTTCTGGTTTGTGTTTCACCTGTGGTTCCACAGTAAGACTGATTTCATATAACTCTAGGTATATCTTTAAGAGTTTGGATCAGATAAAGATAAAATATTATATTTAAATGTTTTATGTCAGAGCTTCTAGTGCAGCTCTGCTAGAGCTATGGCCTGGAAATAAATCATGAAAAAAATCAACTACAGTACTGATTGTGCTAGTAACCAGAGCTTCCCTTCTGCTTTAAAGTCATAATTAAACACTCGTATGCCTGATAGAAACCACTTAGTTTATCATTAGAGAAATGACTGAGCACTCAGACATCAAGGTCTAGACCTGCACGGGGCCGTGTCATAGTTACTGGCCTGAGAGGCTATTGAGCACCTGAAGTGTGGTACTGAGATCAGCTGTAAGTGCCAAATACGCAGCAGAGTTCAAAGACTGAGCATGGAAAAAAGAACGCAGAATATCTCAAAAATGTTATTGTATTGATTACATGTTGAAATGATGATCTTTTGGACATTGGGTTAAGAAAATATATTACTAAAATTCATTTTACTTTTTTAACCTTTTTAATGCATCTGTGAGAAAATTTAAGATTACACGTATGGCTTGCACATATATCTGTTGGACAGCGTTGGTTTAGATACATTTATCTGAATGATTTTTGAAAGACTGCTACAATTTTAATTTAATTTATTTGCAGATGTTACCTTTTTTATCTTCCCTGTCATCTAATCAAAGCTGTACTTTTCAGGTTGCTGTATAGTTAACCCATTTCCTGTGCATTGGGGTTAAATATTCTGATCTTGAAGCTAAAACAGTATGATGCGTCATAGACAGCATTTCCTACATTGTGTTCCTGTGCATCACCGTTTCCATGAGGAGATACTAACAGGTGCTACCCCAAAAAGGGTGCCAAGTGGGAAAGTTGGATTAAGGAAAGTGGAAAAGGTGTTTGTACGTGTGTGTGAAGGTCACAGTCTTTGATGCACTAGTGTGCGTGTGAGTCTCCAGAGGGGGACAGAGAACGCAACGTTCCCAGACTTACTAACCCTGGGACACTTCTGCCTTGGCTGCAGGACAGTACTTAACTCCTCACACAGCACTGCGAGCACTTCCTGTATAATAAACACACACACACACACACACACAGACACACACACACACAGACATTAATTTGACTTTTATTAAACAAGTGTTCTTGGACACAGTCCCTGCCTGGAAGTCTTCACAATCCAAGTACAGTCCGATAATTGCCATAGGACTGTGCACACTATTATATGGACGTTTGTGCAAAACAGTGGCTGCCAGTCATGGAGTGTGTCGTGTGGTCCAGGTGCTCTGCAGCATGCGCCTCCTCGGGAGCTCCCCACCAGCTCCGCTCAGTAGGTGTCAAAAGGGGAGGACCTTGTCCAGGGTCATCCAGCAAGCAGTGGCTGGGTAGTCTTCCTCTCAGTTCCTTCCAAAGATCTGCCTTGCACTCCCCTGCACGTGTACCTCTCTCCAGGTGTGTGTGCATCTATACACATCTGTGCATGCACAGACACATGTTCTGTGTGTAACTCGAAACACAGAAGAACAAGCCACTCCGTTGTTACCTGTCCCCAGAACAAGAAATTCTCTGCAACACCAGCTGGATTTCCAACAATTTAACTCAATTCTGACACCATCTACCTGGAGATAGCGTCAGATCCCACAGGTTAACGGATCAGTCCCACAAGACTGTCCCCACCCTCCTTCAGATGCCAGTTGCAAGTTGGATTGTCACCTGTGCTTCTGACTGATTGGCTATAAATCAGAGTTTCCCAGGGCTCCCTCATTGGTTCAGATTAATTTGCTAGAAAAATAGTTTTAATTTCCTAGGAAAACAGTTTTCATACTGTTTACCAGTTTATTATAAAAGGATATGATAGTGGATACAGATGAACATCCAGAGGGAAGAGATGCACAGGGCAGGGCATGTGGGAAGGGGCGGAGCTTCCACACCCTCTCCGAGTGTGCCATTCTCCCAGCACCTCCACGTGTTCACCACAGGAGCTCTCGGAACCTGCACTTTCAGGACTTTATGGAGGGTATGTCACATAGGCATGATCGATCATTAACTCCATTTCCAGTCCCTCTCCCCTCTCTGGAGAGTGGGAGGTGGGGCTGAAAATGCCAAGTTTCTAATCGTGGCCTAGTCTTCTTGGTGTCCAGCCCCCATCCAGGAGCCATCCAGAGTCACCTCATTAGGACAAAAGACTCTGCCATCACCCAGGAAATTCCAAGGGTTTTAGGAACTCTGCCAGGAACCTGAGCCAAAGACCAAATCTTAGAACAAAAGATGCTCCTAGTGTCCTTGTCACTTGGGAAATTACAAGGGTTTTAGGAACTGTGTGCCAGGAACCAGAGGCAGAGACCAATAAGTATATTTTCTATCATCTCACACATTTCCTTTCTGCTTCAAGAACTTCTTTAGCTATTGTTTTAGGATATGTCTATTGACAACAAGTTCTCTTAGTTTTCCTTCATGTGAGAATGTATTTTCCTTTCATTCCTAAAGAATAATTTCACCAGGTAGAAAATTCAAGGTTGACAGTTTTTTCTTTCAGAACTTGAAAAATGTGCTGCTTCCTTCTGGCCTCCATGGTTTTTTTTTTGTTTTTTTTTTGTGAGGGAGATCAGCCCTGAGCTAACATCCATGCTAATCCTCCTCTTTTTGCTGAGGAAGACTGGCTCTGAGCTAACATCTATTGCCAATCCTCCTCCTTTTTTTTTTTCTCCCCAAAGCCCCAGTAGATAGTTGTATGTCATAGTTGCACATCCTTCTAGTTGCTGTATGTGGGACGCGGCCTCAGCATGGCCGGAGAAGCAGTGCGTTGGTGCGTGCCCGGGATCCGAACCCGGGCCGCCAGTAGCAGAGTGCACGCACTTAACTGCTAAGCCACTGGACCGGCCCCATGTTTTTGATGACAAATCTGCTTTCATTTGAATTGTTTTCCCCTTACAGACAAGGTATTGTTTTGCTTTCTCTGCTTTCCAGAACTTTCCTTTGTGTTTAGTTTTCTGAAGTCTGGTTGTGACATGTCTTGGGATGCATTTCTTTCGGTTTATTCTACTTGGGGCTTGCTCAGCTCCTTGAATCCACAGGTTTACCAATCTTTTGCAAAACTTGGGAAATTTTCTCCCATTATTTCTTCTTTTATTTTTTCTTAGCAATTCAGTGCTTTATAGTATATTCACAGAGTTGTGCAACCATTACCACAATCAATTTAAGAACCTTTCATCACCCAACAAGAAACTCTGTACCCATTAGCAGTCACTTCCCATTACCCATTTTCCCAGCCCCTCATAACCACTGATCTACTTTCTACGGATTTGCCCATTCTGGACATGTCATATAGATGGAATCATACAATACATGGTCTTCCGTGACTAGCTTCTTTCACTTAGCATATGTTTTCAAAGTTCATCCATGGAGCAGCATGCATCAGTACTCCATTTTATTTTATTTCCAAATAATACTTCATTGAAGGATACACCACATGTTTATTTATCCATGCATCGGTTGACAGATATTTGGATTGTCTCTACTTTTTGACTATTATGAATGACGCTGCTATGAACATTTGTGTACAAGTTTTTGCGTGGACATATGTTTTCTTTTGAGTATACACCTAGGAGTGGAATTCCTGGGTCATATGATGATCTGATGCTTAACTTTTTGAGGAACTGCCAAACTGTCTTCTACAGTGGCTGCACCATTTTACGTTCCCACCAGTGAGGGTTATGAGGGTTTCTCCACATCCTCGTCAACATTTATTCTGTCTTTTGGTGAGAGCTGTCCTAGTGGGTGTGAAGTGGAATCTCATTGTGGTTTTGATTTGCATTTCCCGAATGGCTAATGATGTTGAGCATCTTTTCTTATGCTTAGTGGCTGTTTGTTTATGTTCTTTGGAGAAATGTCTATTCAGATCCTTTCCCCATTTACAAAATTGGGTTATTTGTGTTTTTATTGAGTGTAATAGTTCTTCATAGATTCTAGGCACAAGCCCCCTATCAGACGTATGACTTGCAAAAGTTTTCTCTCATTCT